GGGGCCGGCCCCTCGGCACGCGAGAGCCGGGTGGGGTCTCAGCGGGTTATTCCTGCGACCTGAGAACAGCCGGTTGCTTGGAGGGAGAGGGACGCGCTGCTGAGAGCTGGGCCGTGAAAAGGGGCACCTGTGTGAGCGCCTCAGCTGGTGCGCCAGGTGCTTTATTGGTCAAAAGGGTCTCGCCTTCGCTAATGCACAGAGGGCTTTGGGTTTTCGGTAATTCACACTAAAACCCCTGCTTCCTCTTGGTTGGAGCAATGAGGGGCTTCCCTGAGCTGTGCGCGATCGCACCAGGCAGTGCGAGGTCGCTGGAAGAAGCCAAGAGATGGCGTGGTTCCAGCAGGTGCAGTGGGTCGGGCGCCGGCGCGGGGATGCCCTGGGGAATGGTGCATTCAGCTCCCGAGGAGAGAGTGCAGCGTCTCTGCTCCCCACGTAACTGCGTCACGTGTATTACAAAACACTCTTTGAAAGGATGGTCTGATAAAGGTCTGCATAAACCTGACTCCTCCACTCTTGTGCTGATTATGCTTCTCAGAGCTGTCTGCCGTGCTCAGGAGCCAGGTCGAATGTTACAGCCACCCTGGTTTCAGACGGAGGAACGGGCCTGGTGTTGGGTTTCTGCAGGAGAGGGTTAAGCTGTCATCAGAGCCTTAATAAGCCATGAGATTTCCCTTTAAACCCTCAGTTAATGGGAAATGAAATCACCGGCGGGGGAGGGAGTCTTTGTGTTTTCCACCACCTCCATCCTGACTGCCCTTTGATGAAGAACAAAACCCAGCTGGAAGATGAGGGGACGGGAGGTTAAAGCAACACTGAGGGAGAGAGGGGAGAAGACAAGAGGCAGGTGGGCACCCGTGGAACCAGGGGACAGGTTCCTGGGCGCCCCGGGCGCTGCAGTGCTGAGAGCCGACTCTGACCCGGCTGCTCCGGGGGGAAGGAGGAACCGCTCCAGGTCAGAGTTGCATTAGGGATCCTGGGAATGGAGTCGAGGGGGGAACTTGGACTTTGAACTGCAGCAGTGTCGATAAGCTTGGCTGTGTTGTTACAGGCTTTTGGTGGGAGCTGGGATGGATGTGAGAGCTCTGGCAGGTGGGAAGAGCTGAGGGTACAAGGAAAGACCGCTCCTCATCAGGGCCGGGAGCTCTGCAAAGGGCTGCCTGTATTCATGTGGCTGTTTCAGCCCAGATGCCCCGCTGCTGCAGCTCGCAGCCCCAGCAGAAGGGGCGACTGAGTTTAAGAACTGAGAGCAAATGAGTGAATAACGAATGAAATAAATGAATAAATATCCTGCTCCTTTGGGTGGGGGATTAGAGGTTTCCTATCCGCTCTCACTGCCTGCAGGCAATGCCAGCCAGAAGCTGAATTGAAGTGCTGTGATTCCTGCCCCTTCCTTGTTTGAACCAAGGCTGGGGATGAACGTTGGAGCCTCTCTGCTGGAAGGAGGTCATCATCCTGGAGCTCAGTCTCACTAGCTCCACAGAGATGAGAATCCAAATGATCAATCCCACTTACTCCCTGTGGAAGACTACGTGCAAATCAGACATTGCATGAAATCTAAAAAAAAAGTCATCAGTTACTCATTTTTCTGCTTTTCCCTTATTTGCCAGCCAAAACTGGAGAACTCTACTTGTCCAGGTTTCTACTTAAGGCCTGGAGAAGCAATGAAATGCATTAGAAAGCTCACCATCTCGCACCAAAAGGGGCCAAACAAATCTAGGTGACACCCTCAGTTCCCAGGCTGCTTTCTGCCCATGATCTCACTCCCTTCGGAGCTCAGCCAAGCTGACTTCATGCACTACAGTACGCCCTGGGGCAGCTTTAGTCTTTTTTGCAATCCTTGTCACATTTTATGGGTTTGGGGAGTTATGTCCTTCCACAACTTCACATCAGCCTAGCCACGTAGCTGAGTTCACATTATATACCTTTGTAGTGATGCTGACATGCTGCCTTCTATAAAATCATGGAATCTAACTAAAAGCCCGAAAAAAGCAAACACAAACTCTTTGTCTCAGCTGCAAGAAGGTATGAGGGACTGCCAGAACAGAAACACCACTCAGGAGTTTCTTTGCTGATTTCCTCCCGCCTTGTCCTGTCGCCCTCCCCCTGCCCAGGGACCCAAAGCAGACGTAAGCACAGGTCTGAGCAGCAATGACGTACTGTTGCTGCCTGCCATCTTCTGGGTTCCCCTTCCTTTCGGAAGCAGTTGAATTCATGTCAATGATGTGCAGCATCCGTTTCAAAACTCAAGACATCAGAAACTCAGAGTTTCCATAAAAGTATGCCTGATGCCCAGACTTCAGTCCATTTTGGATGGGCTTTGAAAAAGGTCTCCGTCTGGGGGCTCCTGGAGCTGCCCAAGGAACTAATTGGAAGAACTCCCATCTGTAACCTTTGTTCAAGTCACTCACAGGAAGAACTGAAACATGATGGTACCAGAGGCAACTCTCTTTTCCAGACAGTATTTACCCATTCTGCATCTGCAGGCTTAGTCATAGTAACCTGTTGTACTGTAAACGTTTACTATGCACAAACCAACTCACAAGAAAATATTCCTGGAAAAGAAGAACTAGTGTGTGTTGCACACTCGCCACCGTGGATTCATTTGGCCTCTGATTTAAAAATAGATTTCCTGAAAGGGAATGGTTTTGCACACACACAGTGACAGACCACTACTGGACCCTCCTGCTACCTCTGGTTTGGTTTTCCCAATTTCTGGGGTGATTTTAAGGAACATGCAAGCATTTGCCTGGGGTTGCAGGTAAGCTTAACCCTGCAACAGAAACTCAACAGCTTCCTGTCTCAGTTTCTGCAAACCAAAATAGCAAAGAGTTAGAAAACAAAGAAAAAAGCTATTAACTCTCCCCATGAGTTAAACAGCACATAACCCTCAAGAAGGCACATGAGCAAAGATAAATGGGCTGTTGCAGTGTTCATCTCTTTTGTTTGTAGTAAATTATTGTGTGTAATTCATGTTTCCTGTCCATAAATGCCAGAGGAACTTGAAGACATGGAATCCATTCTAATTTAGTAAAGACAAAAACAACTCCTTTTGAGCCCATCTGGAACTTGTTTTTATCGTAATTGTTTTGGGCTCAGTAACGAGTTCAAGATCTAACTGCCCTCACTAATTGTTTCAAGAATAAACAGATGCTTTGTTTAAAGGCGGCAGCTCCCATTTTGCCCAGCACAGCACTCCCCGGGATCGCAGGATGAAAGGAGCTGTGCGCCATGTCAGCACAGGCCTTAACGAGCTTTGGCGCCCTCGCCAGGGGTGCTCACCTCCGTCAGCAGCCGATGGGGCAGGAAACCAGCCCCCAGCCACGCTCTTGATGAGTGTCCAGCCAGTGACATGTGCCCTTTGCTCTTAAACACTGTTGGCATTTTGTTTGTAAATTCATCTGAGGACCTTTTGCAACATGTCCTACTGTGACAAGTCATACCTGGCCTGATGACACATAGGCACCTCCTGCAGCTGGGCTATAGGGCACACAACAGAGAGAGTTCGTTCCCTAGCCACCTAACCCCAAGCCCCTCGGCTGGAGTAATGCTCCATCCCCCTGCAGTAGAGCCCCAATTCTTTTCTTCATTTGAAAACAAAGATACCTCACCAGCACCCGCCCTGAGAGACTCCCCCCACCAGGATGTGAGGCTGTGCAAGCTCCGCACAAGGTCTCACCCACCCTAGTGCTCCCCAGGACACGCCATACCCGAGATCCCTGTTAGCCCCAGTGTACAAGAGGTTGCTGCATGACCGATGCACTGGCACTAGGAGCACATTCGGACAGAGCAGCACTGAGCTCCCCTACAGGGGAGCCACAACAGCCAGAGTGACCTTACTGGAAGGTTATTTCAGCTCTCGGACTCGGTCCTCGGTGGCATGGACAACAGGTGCCAAGAGCTCCAGATCCACCACAGAGTAGTCGCTAAGAGTTTCTGCTCCAGTTTTGGAAACAAGGCTCCATGAACCCGCTGTGCATAGATAAGCTGTGTAATCATAACTGCCCGAGGCACTTGACATGTTTACTTTTCAATGTTTAATGGCCATATATAAATTCTTTCTCCTTCATTGAAGGATTTCCTGTCCCAGTCAGCTAATTCTACAGTGTGATGCCTAAAGTCAGGAGAAAGTGAATCATACAGAATTGGATCGGATTTTTTATTTGTTTGTTTGTTAGAAAGAAACTAAAGATAGCACTTAGAGCTCATCCCTCCAAGGACATGTGGTTTGCACAGGGTTTGCTGTAAATCAAAGTTTATGTTATTTTTATTTCCTAGGTTTTTTTAGTTCAAAAATATAGCTTTGCATCTGGCATATCATGACAAAGAAGATCTCACCTAAATGTCCTTGAGCAGAGCCTGATCACATATCCAAATAAAGCACCTCTTCCAAAACAGCTTCTGATCATGAGTTGAAGACATCAAGCAAGAAAACATCTGTCTCTTTGCACAGTTATTTTTTTCCAGTGCTTAATCATTCTTGTTAAATTCTTCTGTCTTATGATCTGTCCTCTACACCATAGGTCACCTCCCACAGCTGTCAGTGGGGAATATCCTTCAAGGGCCTTTATTTTGTAACATCCATTTCATAAGCAGTGTGGCCAAATCAACAAGACAACTGAAAAACAATGCTTGTTTCTTATAAAAAGAGGTCTATGTTCAGCTGCACAATAGCAGCACGTACAACTAAGCATGCTGTCTGCTGTTGACCCCTGCAAGGAGTCAGAAACTGTATTTGCACTTTGGTTTTCACCAGAGGCTTTCCCTATGTGTCCTAGTCCAGGTGCCTCTCCGTAAGCCAGGGGACAGCTGTAATAAAAAGCTCTATCTGAGTGTTAAATAAGAAATCAGGATGAGTCTGGCACTCCGACACACAGGAACAGAGGTTTTGTTCTGCCAAACAGTTTGTTCTCTCTGGCCTTTGGGTCACCCAGTTTCAAACTAACTGCCTGCATCAGTGTCTGGCACAAAGAAGGAAGGAAAGGGAATAGTTCAGCCACAGCACGACCCACAGCTCACAATGGACTGAGAAAAAGGTATTTCTATTATTTTTAGTATTTTGGGCTTCCTCAGTTTTCCCAGAGAAGCTCTATTGCTTATCAGGAGGATGAAAATGCAGACTGCTGATCCAATGCACAGAACATAGAGCCATTCTCCTGACATCCAAAAATCCTAGCTGGCAAAGAAAAGCAGCTAGATCCCTTGGCTATATCAGCCCTCATGTCCTCAGAGGACTCAGCTCCCATGTATCTCCGCTGGTCTGGAAAGCATCCCAGTGACTCTGTGTGGTAGCAGAAGCTCTGTCAGCATTGGGTCCCTGCCCTGAGAAACCTCTGCAATGAAGCCCATTTCCTGAAGAACTTATACAGTGTCTTGAACTTGCATAAATTGTGGTTTTTTTCTAAGGAACATTAGTGAACAGAATAATGGTGTCACAGCAGGGCACTCATTTCCTACAAAGAAAATCCGTTTTAACAGCTAAGTAAGTTCCATAAACACTGCTTTCACCATAAAAACAGCAGACCTGCTGGCTGTTTCTTGAGAAAGCTGCTTGTTTGTAGATGATGTTATTTGTCTTCTGTATTCTGAGCGAGTCCTGCAAGAGTCAGGACAAGCAGACAGAGGTATTTCATATTTCACTGTGATGGTCCTTACAGGAAAGAGAGAAGGGTTTACAGAAATAGCCAGGCTAGAGTTTGGGAGATAGCCAACAACAAGCCAGGGAACAGCTCCAAATCTCTCCTGCGATTTACAGTGCGGTGTTTGCAGGCAGAATTCATCCTGTAGATCCAAGCCTCACAGTTGGAAATCGGGCCCCTTTTCTCCTCTTGCAGTGTAATTGCAGTTGGTCCAGAGGATCCTGGGGTGAAAACACTCTAAAACATAGGAACCACCTCTCAGAGCATGGCAGATCAAAGAGCATGTGTTGATGGTGTTTCCTAATGGTAGGATTACTACTTATTCCCGCAGTCAGATAATTACAGGCAGAGACTGCCGTCACATTCTCCAAATAACTACTCTCCCATGCTCATGGCATCATATTTCACCTTGAGTATGACAGGTTTGAGTTCAGTGAAAAAGTATGTGAGGGAAGAGGGTGGTAGGTCCCCGTGGTGGTGCTGGAAACCTGCCGGGTTTATGTGAAGGCTCCCAAAGCCAGGAGTTTGAATAACTGCAGTGCGGTGGTTATACCCTGGTGATAGACCCCGAGACTGGAGATTTCTCATCTACACCAACTGCGACTCTGACGTTGTGAGAACTTATCCTAAGGACTGAACATTGGGAATGCTGGGGTTTTTTAAGGTGCAGCAGGAAACCAGTTAGAAACAACCAATGCGAACACCTGTCGGCACCATATAGATGCTATGTAGGAGAAAAAAATCTATCCATCCGCTCCTCAACAAGGCAGCTGTTACTAGAAAAGACGAGGACAACCTCCAGGAGCTCCCATTTCTAGCTAGCCAGCTGCACACCCAGATCTAGCCACAGTCCACAGCATTTCACTGCCTACCCGCAGGACCTCACCCATCTCTTGGAGCTGCCATAAGCTCACCTGCTATTTCCCTTCTCTGACCAGAGACTGCCATAGGCAGTTGCTTCCCTTCATTGCACAGCTTGCAAGCTCTCTGGTTTAACCACCACATACAAGCACCAGGAATGAGTTTTCTCTCATTCTGCCCTTGTGCATCGGTGTCCAGTGCCTCTAGGATTTCCTTTGGACTGTGACGAATACCACCTTCATCTTTTGTTAAATAGAAGAATGTGCACATATTTGCCTTGGAAAAATAAGACAATGCAATGGTCTAAGCAGGCAGTCCTTGACCAGGCCATTGCAGAAAGATACATTTCTGTTTGGCTGCAACAGAAATGAGAGAGATGGATCAGATTCATGGTACTCAGGCCCAGGGAATGGATGGAGACCAGACTGCCTGGGTGAGCTGCATTCCTTCGCCTTTTATCCAACTAGAGACATGTTTTGACATGTTGGCCTCTGTCTAAGGAGCTAGAAATGGAATAATCCCCATCTACCTCAAAGGCTCCCATGATACACCTCAGTGACTAGAACAACCAGGGACACTCCACCTGCTAGCCGCAGGCTGAAACTCCTGTACACCATCACCTGAGGTGACAAAGACCTGCACCAGGTGGTCCCTGCTTATAAGATGCTAGGAAAAAGGAGAAAGCTCTTGCCTAATACAGAATATGTGGGTTTTGTCCTGGAAGAGATCTATCC